CAGCGGAAGGGGCAGAGCTCAGGGCACCGGGGTCTCCATCACCGGCCGGAGGAGCCTCCGAGCTCTGCCTCCACTTCCAAAATCCAGGCACCAAAATGTCGCCTAAATGTAGCAGCTCACCAGAGCAGCAAAACCACACATCCCCCTTGGGTAAATCCCTGGGGACACGCAGGTCTGACCCCTGCACCTCCTCGCTCCAAGCCCTGCAGCTTCCCAGATTTTCTGGCTCCAGGGTGATCAGGTTTGGCCACCTTAAAGTGAGAGCCAGCAGCTCCCAAACCCCCTCGCAGCTCTGCCAGGCCTCATGCCAGGCTCCAAAGAGCATCCTGAGGGAGGCCAAACCAGGACACGGCCCCTCCTACGCACGTGTCCGGGGAAAAACCACTTTGGTTACTACCCTGGCTTTTTTAATAGAAGATTTCAGTTGTTTTTAAAATAATCTGTGCAGCCAGAGAGAATCGCCTTAAAAACACCCACTGTGAACCCCCTGATCAGATTATCCTAGAAGCAGTGAGGTAGGTTTGAAATCTGACCCTGGACTGCTGTCAGGAACAGCAGAAATAAAACAATTATAATCATGTTTCTTTTACAGAGGTGAGGGTGGAGAAATTAAATGCAATAAAATCCTAATGTGCTCCCAAGCTGTAAATGCCCCAGGCTGAGCTCTGACTGACAGGAGGCCAGGAAACCTTCACGAGGTGTTTAACCAGAGATCCCAAATTAAAAATACGTCCAAACGATGCTTCTAGACCCCACACCAAACCTGCAATTCCAGGTTGTATTTTTATCCCTGGGTTATTTTGCCTGTCTATTGATCTGGCATCGGCTGGAACTGGATGGGCTTTCAGGTCCCTCCCAACCCAGCCCATTCCATGGTTCTGGAATTCTGGGATTGCTGATAACCCCTCACGTTCACCTGTCCCGCTGGAAGCAGCAGCTGGGGCGTAGCCGGCTGGCACAGCCGCCTCCCCAGCGGCAAACTGGGCTTTTCCAGCTCCGCCTGAGCCCACCACGAGTCCCAGGAGCCTCCAAAGCCTCTGGAGAGAGCTGGAGAGGGGGGGGCCTGGCAGAAATGCTCGCACCTGGCCGGGAGCGGGGCTGCTGGAAAAGGGGGGAAATGAGCCCGAACCTGCACCTGGACAGGGGCGGCTGGAAAACAGCCGGGGAAGGGCACGAGACAGAGCCAGCATTACAAAAATTCCTTTTGGGAATCGTTCCTCTCCAGCTCCACGTCAGCACCGCGGCACGGCTGCGGAGGGGAGGCTGGAGCAGGATAAAAAATGAAATAAATAAAAATGAAAGAAAGGGAAATAAAGGGCACCGAGGGCAAAGAGCCACCACCAACAGAACGTGAAAAATAAGGTTTTAAAAGCCAACAAAAAGCAGCACGGTAACAATGAAATGCAGCGATTCACCCGCAGAGGGGACCCTGGGGACCCCCGGCC